AAGGAAAAGTAAATAATTTTTCGACATGAATCACAAATTCGCAAATCTAATAACTTCCCTACATCAATTTTCAGCAGAAGTAAATCGCAGTTTACAGTGGTAAAGATTTTCTCTTAAAATTGTGATCAGGAAGATTAAATGGATTGAAACATATGTTGTATCTCGCACGGAGACTGCCACTTACGTTGCACAGTGTAAATTATAGTTAATTAACAGTATAAATTATAGCACTAGTCAATTTCCAAGGTGCGTATTGAGACTGATGGTACGAAAATTTTATACATGTCCCTTGACATGTGGTCTGAGTGAGGTCAGGAAGCGCCCCATTCCTAGGCCACAAAGGCACCCAGCAATAAAATTTGTTTCACTGAAATGAGGAAAACCAGTAGTTGAATTCGTTTCGCTGACATCCATCCCTTCCGGGGGAAGAATGAACATGTGAGATAGTGATATTTCTTGAAACACTAATCAGGCAGACGATCATTCTTTTTATATATCAGCACTTCGATCTAAGACTGGCCGAGCACAATTGCTTAGAGCTTGGGCAGGGAGAGCGTGCCCTCACACTTAAAATTGATTTTTTGGAACTACACGTATGCAGTGCCCACTTTTTTCTTGTGTTTTATAGAAAATTGAACAGGAAATACGCCTATATTTTTTCAATTTTTTATCTGATCGAGTTCATATAGAATTTTAAAAATAATTACATTAATTAAAATAATTTTTAAATGAAATATTTATTTTTTGAAAAAAATTATTTACAGAGGAATAAAATAAACATTCCAATTTATTAAATGAACCAAAACTAATTTTGAAATGAAGTACATTCGGAAGAACAATTGATATTTGCGAACTACCCGTAAATTCTAATATCTAATATAGGCATTCCTGCACAAATAATCAATTTTCAGGCAAGTAAAAAATCACGTGTCTCTTATTTTTATGTCCGTATTTAAGGAAAAATACATCGTTAATTTTAATGTCGTGTCAACTCTTGTGCGATTTGACGTGAAATGGCTCAGGTGCAAAGTGAGGGAGTATTGATTCCGGGAGCGTCCATTACTTACGTTGTTCATCCTGTAAGTACAGTGCATGATATATCTTGGGAGGTAGCGGCGTTTCTCCTCAGCTGGAGAGTCAGATCCGTCACCGACCTACTTGTAGAATTGGAGAGTTTTTCCCTTTCCAGCTATCTCACCCAGCAGGGTACCGTCCCAACCCAGACAAGTTGCCTTCTGGTCTCCCAACGTGTGTGAAAGTGTATTGTACGTGTGTATGTAAGGAGAGAGGAGGCGACAAGGATGAGGAAGCGTTGAAGCAACGCGTCAATCGTAGAAGCTACAACCTATTATGGGGATTCAGAAGCCATATGTTGACAACGATGTCGCGATAGCCAGTTTCGCCGGCCCAACTCCTTAACTACGCTCCGTGAAGTCACAGAAGTTAAGTAATTTGAGATACCACGGGCTTAGAGATGAGTGGTCGGCTGAGAACCCCGGGGATCTAGTGGCGCGGAACCCCTGCCGAAGGGATAAAATTCAATGACTGACTAGAACTGACGATGATTGAGTAAGTGAAATAATTATTTTAACTTACATTTAACTCGATTTTTGTGTTCGGGAACGTCAACTGCTATGGTCATTAGTCTCGTAAGTGTTGTAATGAATCTGGTCACGAAACACTCGTGAAACCCCTATCGGTGTGTTAGGTTATATCACACGTAGACGGAACCGAATGATGTCGGAAACTGTCTAGGCATTAAGCACTGACACATTCCTGTAAATGTTTCTCTCATACAGTGCCAGATACAATGTCAAGCGGGGAACCCGCGGGATGACCACATTCATAGTGGGGTTTATAGGAATTTTGGTCCGTCTCTATGGACTTCGGTGGTGAGTAGCTCTGGATCAGCAAAGACATGAGGAAGGAAAACGTAAATTATAAGGGAAATTTTCCCTTCCTTGATCGAAACTTAAGATCCACAGCATCAACAATGTGACATATATGGAACATATTATCTACTATATAATGTATACAATTCATAGTATGTACATAAATATCATGTTATAATATATAGTATGTTCTATATAATACGCTATCCGACATTCGTTGGAGTGTAGTGCGTGTAAGTGTGAATGTGTGTAACTAAGGGGAGAGGATAGAACAAGGAAGAGAAAGGAAAGATCGGGTAGTACCCGTGGCCCGTTTGTTTGGCTATTTCTCCCGCATTCGCCTGGAATTGATAAAAGAAACCATGGAAAACTACCGATCAGAGCAGCCAGCCGCTAGAATGTCCTCCAGACAGCGAATGTCGAAAATCCCGCCGGGGCTCGAACCTAGTACATCCCGGTCAGAGGCATTGCAGTAACATCAGATGCTGCCCTGAGCCACCTCTCCGGGTTTGCTGGGTCGAACGAACCACTATCGCAAGCGCTTGGGGCGGCTGGCTGAGCGTGTGCGTGCGCGTGGGCGTGGGCGTGCGCAGGCGGCGGAGAGCGGCAACATCGAGGACTTCGGCCGCCTCCTGCTGGAGGAGCCCGCGCGCCTCGCGGTGCGCGACTCCCGCGGCCGCGCCGCCGCGCACCAGGCCGCTGCGCGCAACAAGCTCAACATCCTGCAGTTCATCGCCGCGCACGGCGGAGGTGAGTGGCGCCGGGGTTGCATCCCCTAACGCGCACCAGGGCTCGGGGACACGATATGCCCTGCAGGTAGTGGAATGCCTGAGGACGTGACTCTCAGCTCTGAATCTAAATCAACAATAAGGATATATCAGAATAAATGTAACAAATTTCTTGTATTTTAGGAAGTTGAAGATGATCACCTTTTGACAATAAATATGAGGTGGTAAATCTTCGAAATATGTTAAGAGGTAACATGTGTGGCATTTGTCCCTGATTCGTATGCAACTCATCATGCGTTACGTGTGGAGGTACAAGTTCTCTCGCAAAGAGATATCCAGTATCAGCCAAAATGAAGGTACCATTGCAACAGAGCCTATTAAACAGGGGCAACTGCTACACATGTATCTTCGTAAGCAAACACATGATTATTGGCTAAACGGGATCATATCTAATCCCTATACATCCACTAGAAGTTTGTAACATTTATTCTTGGACATGTATATATGTATATATGTATAAATATATGTGTATAAAAATGTGAAAGAAACTAAGTTTGACGACCTCCTAGACGACGCACCCGATTTTAACGATTTTTAGATATAGGTAGAGTATTGTTCAACCTAGTATCTTATTACATCATTTTGGTAATTGGTTGTCAACTTACAAAAATAATCCAATTAATTTTGAAAATGCAAAAAAAATTCATTTAATACGTGCCGAGAAACCGGGGATGTAAATGAAAATATTTCTATTTTACATTGTAAGTAAAATACATTCGGGTATATTGGCAAGTGAAGTTTGTAAAAAATTATTTTATCTCAATGCCGATATTGGTATTCAATTATGCTTAATAATTTTGTAAATAAGGGCAATTCATATCGAATTTAAATTAGTGGAGAGATATCTAATATAGAGAGTGAAGTTTGCATGGGGCGCGCTATGACAAATTCGCGCCATTAATTATACGACTGAACTGACGGATTGAGGCGATCGAAGTGTTTCGGTAAATTCGGGGAGAGAAAATTGTGCAGTATTGATATTTGTAATGAAATTACGAAAATTAGAGAAAGTAGTATTTAAAGACTTTTATTTTGAAATGTAGAATAGTCAAAACTAACTGTCGCACGTTGTTACCACTTAAATTTCTCGCTTTATCGTGTTGGCTGCTCCTTTGGGAGATGTGCAGTGCTATATTGTTCAAAAACAAAGCACCGCGTCTAAATACGTTCGGAAGATCAAACTGATCATATTCTCATACGAACTCATCCCAGCATTCAGTACGATATTAGTAAGATAACAGCTAAAGCTCTTGGCTGACGTATCACTGACTTGTCCGAAGACTTACTTGTCTTTTTATAAAACCTGCAAAGAAATTCGTCGAAAGATAGACTGAAAGAACCTTAATGATTGGAAGTAAATTGTGGAGATAATATAAAAACGCACTCTGATTGCCTTTCTATTAATGTCAAAAGAAATATCCCAAGTTTGGTCAAAGAAATTGTGAAATTGACATGATGATACAATCCATGTAATTGAAGTATGTACTTTATTCAGTCATCTCTGTAGTATGCATTCGACGTTTAAAAAATGCATGTCAAAATTAATATAGGCACAGTACAATACAATTTATTTCAGTAACAATTCTCTTAGTTACAGGAGTTTTACTTAGATTTAGATTAGGTTAATTTTGTCAAAAAAAAAAACAGTAAAAACTGTATGTTACTTATGGGGGAGAAGATTACCGACGCACGTTTTCTTGAGTTTCAGAATCTCTTCTCGTCATTTTAACTAAAAATAGTTAAAAGATGAGTAAAAGTTTAAAATAAATATATGAAAATAAATTTTAAATAATCGCGAGATTAACAATATTTGAAAAATAGACATTTTCGTTCTAGAGTTATAGAAAACATATTTGCATCGGTAAACGAATTGCAAGTATGATTTTTCTGCGCTGCTAGCAAAATAGTAACTTGCCCTCACCTCTACTCCTACCATTACAAACAAAAGGAGAGTTCAACAAAACGTGCGCATAGTGACGCTTCATTAACGTCCAGAAGCAAAACAAAGGGCCATCTTAGCATTTGCTCAATGGATCAGGGAAATTTGACAAAAACCTGATCTTAATTGCACTCGAGTTATTTACAACGTGCCAGTTATAGTTAACCATTGAGAATGGTAAAATCTCCCCGCAACATATTTTGTTAAATAAAATTATTACTTTATACTATGTGCATAAAATTATTCTCATTTGCATCATCTTATGGATATATTCCACAAGATGTCAATTGGCACTACCAATATTCTAAAACTAAGCATGTTTATTAATTGAAATTGAACTATGTATGTGCTGAATAAGTATTGATTTTTATCTTTTAATAGATCTGAACATACGAGACCATGTTGGAAATACTCCCCTGCATGTGGCTGCTGAACATGAGTCTCTCGATGCTGTTGATTATCTCCTACAAAGGTAACTTGTTCAGGGCTAGTTAGAGAATATTTACATATGTGTTACAAAAGAATATTCAAGACATTTTTCACTGAACGCATTCATACATATCTGGGCAGAATACTCATTGAATTCTCGTATATTAGAAATATTCTGAAAACATCCTCAAATTACTATGCGAGGGCGTTTCGAAATATATAGCCTGATCAATGAGCACTTTTACTGACTGCATACCGATTCACACTTCTGAAACATTCTGTAAAAACTGAAACTGGAGAAATGACAGTAAGCGCAGAAAATATCTGTATCGCACGTTAATGTCAGAAACAATCTAAATTGTGTTAACTATAACAGTAGTAATTAGGGGACGGATTTTGATTACCTAAACCGTCGCCAAAAGTGATCAATATTATCTGTATCAAACTGTATTCAACTGTATTCAAAACCAGTTCAGATTAACAACTCAAAATGTTGGATACGTTACTGAGTTAATCGATAATTCTTCTATTCGTTCAAGTAAATCCAGCTTTCAAAGTTTCGGTTGAGACTGTTCTTTGAAAAACTCTGTCTCTATCCCGAAATCGACTGAACTGACAATGGCGTTGATATGCGTCACGGGCTTTACATACAAAGGCTAGTATTACAATTTCTGAGCAAAGAAATCGAATAGGCTACTCAGGAATTCTGTGGAAAACATTTGTTGCATCTCGTAAATATTATTTGAAGCAATTACCATTAAAAGTATTTTAAAATCGATTAAATCAGCAAAAAATCCATTAAAATTATCGTAAAAATGTAAAAAAATACATTATTTGAATTGGCGAAAAATGCAAAAAATGGCATAAAATGGGTAATTTCCTTTTGTCGTAACATAAAATTAATTTGTATACTAACTGTAGAGAGAGAAAAAAGAAATGACTAAAAAGAGATAAAAGAAAAGAATGACATTTCATTGAAATCTGTCACCTAATAATAATAATAATAATAATAATAATAATAATAATAATAATAATAATAATAATAATAACAATAACTCATTTGATTTGCATGGGTGATATTTAAATTGTAAGCTAGGAATGAAGCGATTCTCTCTTACATGTTTGTTTGTGATAAAGGAATTCAGCATTGACATCTGATTGACATTTGGTTTTAACAAATGTGCAAACGTCAACTTCAATAGAGGCAAAATGATTACTACAGTGAGTATTCAAGGTGATATTCAAACTGTAATTCAAGAATTCTAGTTATGTATAACCAAAAAATATCTAGGAATTCAAGAATGTGATAACTCGAACGAGACTATGAAAAAGATAATTCGCAAAAATAATTACAGAAGATGAAGACGCCCTGGGGTCCGCTTTAACTCGAATAATAATATCTCTGCCATAGGTAGTTTGGCCCGTACCCGAGAGCAACTTGAAACTGGCGGACTGGACTGACCAAGATTTTCGAACCATGGACCGAAAAACAGAAAACCACTTACAATGCATCACGTGGCCCACCGGCAAGCTGGTGAACATTGACTTTCTGTATTGCGCAAAGGAGGAAGAGAGCAGATACATTGATGCCTCCTGACATAATGCAATATTTGGAATGGAAAAGTATGCGGCCGTCATGAAGATGAGCCACTTATGAGGCTTGTCACTAAATCTAACGGAAAGAGTGATATCAGAGCCATTTTAAGTGTAGCAAAAAGCATTTCGAAGGAAACTACGCAAGACACACAGAATAATATAATAACTGAACTGTTGATGCTATTTGACATGAAATGTGAGATGCAAAAAATGTTTAAAAATTCTGGAGAAACAAGTATGGACATAGACAATATTTAAAAAAGTGAAAAAGGTACAGATCAACAAAGACCAATAATTTATGGGACTTAAAAGGGAAAGGGGAAGCCACAATCGGAAAGCGCTGTAATAGCTGCCCATGATAAGGTGTTGAGAACACGACATTATGAAAAAAACGATTCTCAAAATTTTTCAGAATGATAAACGCTGAATTTGTCACGTACTGATAAATATAATTATCGTGTCATCTCAGCTTATTCAATTCTTGCAAAGTCCAAATACATGAAAAGACACTGACTTATGTGCTCCATTGTTAGATCGGTAACGCTCTCAAAGTTCCAAACACATGCTACAATTGATACGAACAGTCAGAATAATCTTTGACTTCTATTAGACTATGGACAATACTGTATGACCATAATATATATATATATATATATATATAATATATATATATATATATATAATATATACTTACCGTACGATACACAACAAAACTTTGGATGTTGGTTTCCGGGATGTGAAAAAAATCGTATCTTCATGTTGGTATTGCCGTACCATATGATCAGAATTTCGTAAACTATAGAGGCAGAGAATAGTCTTTAGTACAAAATTTGAAGTCGAGATCGGGACTGATGTGTGTGTGTGTGTGTGTGTGTGAGAGAGAGAGAGAGAGAGAGAGAGAGAGAGAGAGGAGGGGAGACGGTTGTACCGATAGTAATCGGAGCTCTAAAAATTGGTCCCCATGATGTATGTAAGTTCTTGTCCAAACTTTGACATAGTTTGAAACTCTGGAAAGTTTAAGACATTGCGACTCTTTAAAAAGCTGGTTACATCCTGGAGTTGATTTTATATTTAAGGGTTACCAAATATCTTTGATCTCAAATTTGTGGAAAAATAATAATAATAGTAATAACAGTAATAATAATAATAATAATAATAATAATAATAATGATTTTTAGATCGAAAGAAAAGTATTTAAGTTAAATTAGGCCATTACATTTTCAAGGAATATTTTCAAATTATAACTGGTTCAATTTATTAGATATGTTTGTTTCTGTATGCATTCTACAAAAGTCGTGCTAATCAAAACCGATATTTCATTACTACCAATATCTATGTTTGTTTAAAAAAATGTTACATCGCGTTCATGTTTTTTCATATGGCAGATTATTAAATTAAATCTGCGTTTGTAGAAAACATTCTTCAAAATTATATTTGATTTCTTTAAAAGTAGTAGACTGTTTTTTTTTTTATTTACTGAATTTATCAATGTTTGAAATAAATACATTTTATATTGTCAGCTCTAAAATTATGAATGCTTCATTTTTCAGCGATGTGGACACAAGCATTTTGAATGAGAAGAAACAAGCTCCAATACATCTGGTGACAGAACTTAACAAAGTCAATGTACTGGAGGTAATGATGAAACATAAAGAAAAGTTTGATATACAACAAGGTGGAGAGCACGGACGTACGGCCCTTCATTTAGCAGCTATCTATGATCACGAAGAGTGTGCTCGTATACTTGTGAGTGTAACTGAGATATAATGGTATACTAAATTAAAAAGTTTTCATGAATCCAATGTCAGAAACAATTTATTGAATTAATCATTAATATTTGCTTACGTTTCCACAGTACTGAACGAATCCCGTGCCAAGTAAAGATTTACTAACAGTGCGAACAAAACGTTAAATCTAATAATCAATAAAGAATATCATGGTCTTTGAAATATAAGAAGCCTAGAAGTGGTGAAAATAAATAAACATACCTCCCTTTGAAAAGAGAAGTCACAAATTAATTTGCAATATGTTTTATTTTTTCATACATGTCAAGCGCATATTTTACCAATTAGCAGAAATTAACCAAAAACCATTTACAGAAGCGATTCTCAAACTGTCTTTCGCACATTACGATTCCAGCATCCCACATTGTTCAGAAAAATTAGCTGAAAAAGACGGCGGTACACTACTGTTCTCGCTGCCAGCAGCAACTTTCATCTCCTTACGCGGATGCTTTATTCCTTTTTAATAATATAAAGGATAAAGTTACACGGTATAAGGGGTACTAAGATTTAGTTACCAACAATGTTTGTATCAGCTAATTCACAACATATTCATAGTGAATCGTTTGCTTTGTATGTTCAATATATTTGTGCTAATTGTCTAATCTGTCTAGACACTTATAATACTATAGCCCATTAAATTGAGTATTTCTCTCGCCTATTTCAGAGAACTAAAGAAGTGCTCTCAATAAGTACTAAATTGGTCACCAAATATTTACGATTTCGATTCTTTGCGTGAAAACTTTCTTATTGAATAACAGAACTGAACATCAAGCAACGCTTAGCCTTGCCGCAGCACATATTCAATACATCTCGAACAACACAGGAAACATGTACACTCATTCCATCTTTTCCAGATCACCGAATTTGGGGCGTCTCCCCGTAAACCATGTAATAATGGGTATTATCCCATTCACGAGGCAGCAAAAAATGCTTCCTCGAAGACAATGGAAGTGTTCTTACAATGGGGAGAATCAAGGGGTTGCCCCAGGGAAGAAATGATTTCATTCTACGATTCTGAAGGAAACGTACCTCTTCACTCGGCCGTACATGGAGGCGATATAAAAGTAAGAAGTAGTCTAATTTGTGATATTAAAATTATAAAAATAATATTTTCATTAAATACCAGGCAGGACTGAAGAGTAACATTCTTCTCATAAAAGCAAAGTCAAATTTTTGACAAATAAAATAAACCAAATAAAATGGTAAAAATAATTTAAATAATATTACCGAAAACATTCTACACTACCCAAGCTTCAATATTTTCGTCAACTGCACCCTACAAAGCAATAGTTATAGTATTTTGTATTGTAATTTAAGAAAAGTATTTTTCCGTCATTCATTTGAGTATGGGAATCTAAAAGTCTAGACTATCTACAGGACCTTCTAAAATATTATTTGGATTCCACCTCGATCAAGCCGTTTTCAGGGTAAGACTTTTTTCTGAGTTTCGAGTCTAAAAGCCTTGCTAGTGACGACAAGTGTGACATGTGAAAAAACCTTAAATAACATTATTTCTTAAAATTCCTTGTTCGTCATGTTTTACACTAGTTTAATGAAAAAATATTTTCATTGCTATATAAACTAGATTTTTTCTTTGAGTCGGCACTCAAATAACTCTTTGATAATTATAATCCGCTGTTAAAATTCATAAACCGATGTTACAATTAAAATGATTATATTTTTACATCAAATAGTAAATCACTTTGACATAAATTAAAACTCTTCATTATTGGATTATTTTATCGAATGTATTTGAGATGAAAGCTAAAAACTCGCATCAACAGCACTTCAGGAGTCTTTTCCGATGTTTATTTTGACGCAGCTACAAGAAATAGATCTCGCTTTAGTACCTCAAATTCAATTCGAAATAATACTGGTTTTTTGAAACCTCAAAAATATTAGGAACATGACGTATAAGGTAACCAATTGGATAAAATTGTCCTAAAAATAATTAATGTTTTTAGTCATTAATGTAGTTTCTTTTTATTCAAGCAATCTACTTTGTCTACAATTTATGACATTGAATTTCATTTTCGAAACTATATAAACATATACTGTATGATTCTGTTAGTCTTGTAATTCAGTTTTGAACTTAATCCATAATGTGTCTAGAGAAATACTTTTAAATATTTTAATTATTGTAATTCCTAAATATTCCTTGGAATATCGTTCAGGGAAACACGTTTTTGAATACAGAATATCATACGGTAAGAATTTTTAGAGATGTGTGCTCTTGATTCGCCTATGAATTTTAATTTACCATTTTAGCTTTCAATATAGAGGGAGCATAAATATTTTTCAGGCAGTGGAGTTGTGTCTTAAATCTGGTGCAAAGATTTCAACTCAACAACATGATTTGTCCACACCAGTACACCTAGCATGTGCACAGGGCGCCATTGATATTGTGAAGCTAATGTTTGGTATGCAGCCCCGAGAGAAAGTTCAGTGCCTGGCATCATGTGATGTTCAAAAGATGACTCCTTTGCATTGTGCAGCCATGTTTGACCATCCGGAAATTGTGGAATATTTAGTTAGAGAAGTAAGTATAATTCTCGTCAATTTAGGTATGACGAAAAATGTTGAAATATGGTGATGATACTTAATGCAACAAACAAATTATGGAGTAGTATAGACTTTCAAAAACTTTGGCAATATTTTTTCACAGCATATCCACATTGTTATCCATCCATATAATTCACCACGAATACGTATACGGCATATCAAAGATGTGATAAACCATCCATAATATCATTCACTATTTTTCAAATGAATGGTAAAATCCAGAATGGTATATGGTACATTCTATAAATTCTGATAAAACGTGTTTCTGTTAAGCTATATTTCAGTGCCAATGTAATTGTATGGTTTTGATGAATTGAAATGCCGTGATGTCGTGATGATGATCCAAAGCACCACGGCTTTACAGTGGTACTGAATTAAATAAACAGTTTTCTCAGAATGTATAAAATGTCACTTATACCATTCTGGTTTTCACCCATTTAAATAACTGTTTGTGCTTTTAATTTAAAAGGGTACGCTTTCGATGAATATATAATGAAAAGTTGATCATCTTATCAAGTGGCATCAACAGCTAAGAAAATGATACTCCTCAGGGTAATATCAGAAAATGAAGTATAAAATAAGTGGAGGCACATACTTATTCGCGTTATTCCTAACCTCGCCGAAAATGGGAGTAACACTATATTTTTACTGCCCCTTCATGAGTATATCATGAATACACACACACACACACATACATATATATATATATATATATATATATATATATATATATAAAAGCGGAGTGCTTTTTAACAAAAAAGTATTTAAAATGTTTACCAAGTAAGAGAGAAAGCAAAAAGATAATTTTAGAAAAAATACCGTGTAATTCGGCAGATAACACGATAGACGAATCACAACAAAAGACCCTCAAAATACGATACTTCATCTAAGGAAGTATTAATTCCTAAAATACATCCCCTCTTCGTTGTTTAGAAGTTAGTAATACGGGTTCTAATTCGTACTTAGCGAATCAATTTTCTTTTCGTCATCGGTATCCCATCAATATTATTATCTCATTAAGAACCAAAGGTCCATCCCATAATAAATCGTCCTCATTGCCAAACTCGATTACCCTAATCAGTACGAATATTCGCAAGAAGCCAGTGCTACCAGATGTGCTGTAGTGCTGCTAGTTGCAAAAAATGATGATCGCCGATTTTAAACTAACTTCAAAGGCTGTTGATAGTTCGGAGGTTTCGTCTTGTAGGACAGATATGTGCTAAATCTATAAAACCTTGTGGAAAATTAATACCTCGTCTTATCTTAAAGTCAACTTGTCTGCAAAAATATACGGTATGCCAAATCGTGTATGGATAATTAATATGTATTAACACACAATTAAAACCTACAGGGATCTGATATCAACCCACTGGACAAAGAGCGAAGGTCTCCCTTGCTTCTGGCTGCTTCAAGGGGAGGCTGGAGAACAGTTCACACTCTCATTCGCTTAGGAGCTAACATACATCTGAAAGATGTGAATCATCGCAATGTACTTCACTTGGTTGTCATGAATGGAGGAAGATTGGAAGAATTTGCTGATGAGGTGATCAAGGTGAGTTTCTTTTGCTCATTATGCTATTTGAACCTTAAATGTAGGAGTATTACTTGCAATTCAACTTCGTCTGCGGGAAAAGTAAGTGAAAAAATAGTTCGAATTAAAATTTCTTACATAACAGTTGATACATCTTTTCTTATGACCGAAAACGAGATGTTATCAGAGAATGTTCAAAAATCCGTAGCTCAAAATGATTATAAATATGTCAGTCATTAAATTAGCAATAAGTCAGAAAGGTTACAGTAGAGTAAGGAAACCAAACTACACAATTTCTTATTGTATACATCTGAAAAGGTTTACTGCAAAAAACACAAGTTACAGAACAACAACCACATGCATTGAAATAAAATATTTCATAAATAAACAATAAAATCAAATATAATCAAGAAAAATTTGACCTCCTAATAGTAACGCACATTTTTTTCTCCGCCTTGATTAGCTTGCTTGCACGACACCCAGTGGCGACTGCTCCTGAAGGGCTCTAGGGCGGCGCCCTCTCCAGAAAAAACAACCTCGGGAAAAGTTGCAGAAAATATTAAACTTGCAATAAATCTACTCATTTAAATTGCATACCACTAGCGTAATTTTTAAGGATAATTTAGTTTTAAGTGCCTGATTATACGAAAGATACATGCTTTTTGGAATGGGTAGCATCGTGGGCAATCGGGATTCCGTTCGTAGTTGGTACACACAAGGCAATGGAAGCTCAAGGAAGAGTGGGGTACTGGGAGTTGGCTGGAGCCAGCGTGCGCCTGTTGCGGTTTTGTTCGACAGAGTCCGCAGCTATTAACTAAGTTAAGAATGTCGACCTTTCTTCATCTGATTTCGTAAATTACGATATGTAAATGTAGATTTTGTCTGCCACAAATGTCACAGTATTGTTAATTGGTGATTAATGTATCCGTATTATATATTTATATAGGAGATCTCTTGAATATTTTGCGGTCTTAATGATTGCTGGTGCTAATTTTATTTCCAATTTTATAAGAGTATTATAATGTATATCTGGTTGGCTATTTGTATTTTAATTAGTCATCATTGTTTTTTTTGACAGGCTCAGTCAAAAATTAGTCTACTGCAGCTCCTTAATGAAAAAGATAACACTGGATGTTCACCTCTGCATTATGCAAGCCGTGAAGGTCATATACGCAGCTTGGAAAACTTAATACGCTTAGGAGCTTGTATCAATTTAAAAAACAATAACAATGAAAGTCCTCTGCATTTTGCTGCAAGGTAAATATCTATTTTCATTTTAAAAATTAAAAATTAAATATGGTAATACTTCATATATGTAACACTTAGAAAAGTGTAAATTCAAGAACAAAGAAAAATGTAAATCATTATTTAAATATTTGTGAAAGTAGAGATCATATTTCAATCATCTTTCTCACAAGCTTTCATAAAATTTCAGATTAACCTCTTGAAAGTCTAACTTCTTTAAGAAAAAAGTGTTAAATTTACGATCATATGTTCTATCGATGTTTATACCCAAATTCAAAAACAGAAAAGAAACAAATTGCATTTAATGCATTTGCATTTCAAAAATAAGTACAATTTGAAGATTATGTTTTAAGATTCGATTACTTTACTACCAGGAACATTGACATAGAGATACTTTTATACATGGATTGCATGACCGTTGTGCAACTAAATTTGCAATCGCATTCTCTGCGTGTGTGCCCAAGAATAATACAAATATTGTACTATATTTTCAGCAACTGCTATATTCATATTGGTTATTCAGTGACGTGTTGTTGAGAACATTCAAAATAAAATATTAAAAGACGTTGTCTTGTCCATTACTATTTAGTCAACTAGTATTTTTCGTCGTATTCTGACTTCCTAATAGCAGGTAACTGATGACAAGCCTTCGAAAGCTGCTATTACAATAAATAATAATGTTGGCCAAGACAACGCCTTTTATTCTTATATTTATATTTATATCGTTGTCGTTCTACCTCTTCAATAATGAATCGTTTTGAAACTTAAGTCCTTTTTTATTTGATGCATTCTAGTAGTCTGAGTACACTTAAACAATTTCTTCATAAAAACACCAAATTTCTATATACAAATAATATAAGAAAATACGAAAATATGAGTAGCATCATTCGTTAGGGCAATTGACCTCGCAAGTCTATCAGCTTCCTGCCTCCGGTTCCTATGAAGAAAAGTCTATGACAATATCAGACAATTAAATCAAAACTTTTCTATAAGATTTGTGCTTCAGAAGCTGAGTTGAATAGGAGTTATTTATTGAAAGTATAAATAGCGATATGATGGCATTGATTTTGTAAACTAGATATGGCTCACCTTTGTATTTTGTTTGTACAGTAAAAATGCCGGAAACATTTTCCGCCGTGTTTCCCATATTTATGGAGGTTTTTCGTTATTTTTACTTTCTCGATGCGGAGAGAGAGAAAGTTATATAATACTGCGCGAAAAATGAGTATTTTCGGCGGGAAAACTCTTATTAAAGGACTCTGGTAACGAAAAAGTGGATAAATTCAGTTGATAAATTTAAAAAAAAATCTATTTCGCATGTTTTGTGGGTTCCTCATACCGCAAAACCGAATGGAGGCAAAACGTCTGCTTGTGCGTCCGTCTGTTCGTCCGTTGACTGTGAACAACGCTAGCGGTTACTTTACATGAAGCCCCTGGGAGTTATCACAATTTTCAAACAAAATAACCTTGCAGATTTTGATTAAAATTTGCTGTTGGATAGTGTGTAGGACGAGTAAGAATTGGGGCACGTTTCATGTTCGTTGAAAACCTTGATTTTTCGAAAATTGCAAAAGTTAAAAAAAATCGGAGTCTCCCTACAACTAAAAGATTTTTCCCTTAATTAAATCCGTTTCTTAAAATTAGATTTTGAAATACGGTCAAGTACACTTTTTCAAAAATTTGAACACCTTTCGCGTAATTTTGCGTAAAAATAGGAGCAAAAAGGTACGTTTGTTTTAGCACCACTTGTTCGTTTACGTTACAGTCGTTGAGCCAGTTCCGAAATTCATGATTCAACTTTTCCCAATCTTCCTTGACTTTTTCTTCAATGAAGTAGTTATTAGAGACAAATGATATTCGACCATTTCTTACTCTCTCAACATGCGTCTTATATTTTATTGTTCTAATTAATAAATGTAACTTCGTTTTAGATATGGGCGATACAACACTGTTCGTCAACTCTTGGATTCTGAGAAAGGTACATTTATCATTAACGAGAGTGATGGAGAAGGTCTAACACCCCTTCATATAGCATCACAGCAAGGTACGTCGAAAGGTGCAGCTAACAAAACGCTGGCGGGTTAATGAAAGAGTATTTCGTATTTTCGTTACCATTTAATGTCTCTCCTACTACGTAATTACATAGTAAAAAGAAACTACTGAAATGCTCCAGCGGAAAAGGCTATTGTCAGAAAAACTCATATTGTGGAGCCCTGATATCGAAGTAGGAAGGAAATATTCAAGAGCTTTAAAATAGAAACTAATGTTATTTGCGAAAAAGAAAGGATGGATAGAATCATATCTAAAGGCATGTGTTTTTCGCAACAATAAGTAGGTTCGAGTCCCGACGGTGGCAGGATTTTCGACACTAGCTTGTTTGCGAAGTCGAATACAGGTCGCTGCCTGCTCTGATTGGTAGCTTTCCGTGGTTTCTTCGATCAACACCAGCCGAATGCCGGGGCAGTACCCTAACAAACGGGCCACAGACTGCGCGCGATCTCACCTTCCCCTTCCTTGTCCTATCCTCACCCCTTACACATTCACTTACACTAACACGCACTACACCACTACATATGCCGGGAGACCCGTCAGGAGGTAAGAGCTTGTCTCGGCTAGGGCGGTGCCCAGCTGGTGGGAGATACCTGGTTGGGGAAACCCCGCTAGCCGACGGTAGGTCGGCGCAAGATCTCGATACACAGCGGGGGAAAGATCACCACCACCTCCCGAGCAAAAACAAACTTACACTTACGGGACTAATGACCATGGCAGCTGAAGTGCCCGGAATCACTAAACACTCAATCGTACCAATAGTAAACGCGACAAACACAAAAAAAACATTATCTTAACGTATTGAATTATTGGGAGTCAGAATTCATTAATTTTGGTCGCGAGATTCGTAAGTAAACTGTATGTAAAACATATAATCTGTTATTTAAAACCCAAACTGCATTTTCTGAAAGACAGCTTCAAAATTTCAATGAAAACTTGCATATAGGACCAGGTTTTATTCTTCTAAAATATATCTAAAGTCAAAATTTAATTTTACTTATAAGACCTAACATTTGAGAAATATGAAAAAAATATTTTTAGGCGCAACTGGGGAGAGAGGGTGGGGCCAAACCTAATAGCTAGGCCAGAATAAAGAGACTGGCAAACTAACTAGAACAAAAAAGTTTGAGCCATTCAGTAGCAACATTATTTGTTTTCTGTTTCTTTCTTAAGTATTAGTCTCATTAATACCAAATCTCGGAATTGTTGAGCCATTTAAAATATTCTGCTTATGTATTGCGTTGCAGGACATACAAGAGTTGTGCAATTGCTCTTAAACAGAGGAGCGCTCTTGCACAGAGATCACAACGGCCGTACTCCTCTTCATCTAGCAGCTATGAGCGGGTACACTCAGACAATGGAACTTCTTCATTCAGTTCACTCTCATCTGCTCGATCAAACTGACAAGGATGGGGTAAGTACATATATAAATTTCAGTTTTTCTCTCAGACTCTCTCGAAGTAAAAAAAAAATACTATAGACATAAGTTCTTTGAAGTATATCTATTTCCAAAGTACTGGTATGTTTTAAATGTGTTGCGTCTTCATTGACGCAACGCGTCTCCACGCCCCATGGGGGGCGTTGAGCGCTTTGGGCTTTCGGAGTAATCCTCCATCAATATTTCAATAAATCATATCCGTCATGTCTCGTCACACTCAGTTGTCAAGAGGGCCGTCAGATAGCATCTCCGCGTATTTGTGAGAATTGTTTCACTAATATAAAAATATATAGTTAGTAACAAATAATATTATCGGCAATATTTTAATAATAATTATCAATACCAACACCAATTTTCAAGCCTTACCAATTACCCATGTTGAATTACAAATAAGAGCATCTCGTTGGAATAAAACCAAATGGACAGAACCAACAAGCGATAAACGTAATTGAATGGGGGAAAACCAGAACGATATAAACGACATTTTATAAATTATGAGAAAACATGTTTATTTCAGCCTATATTTCAGTTACAATATGTTTTGCTGTGGTTTTAATGATGAAACAAAGCACCACGATTTTACAGTGATATTGTCTAAAATAAACAGATTCCTCAGAGTGTATAAAATGTCACTTATACCGTTCTGGTTTTCTGCCATTCAATTGATAAAATAAAGTGAGTAAAATCTGTCCGAAAGATGAAATTCTGGAACCAATTGCTAGAGAGTTCATAAGTGAAATAATAAATATAAAAATTGCATTACAAAAGTTTCCCCTCATGGCAGCAAATTATTCGTGTTTACTGGGAACAATTTCTGAGGAATGAGGTTAATAAAGGTCGATGTGATATGTTTACGACATTAATTAAATTCTTGCAGAAAATGAAAATATAGTTTCGCATATACTATTTATAGAATTTTCGTTTTTCCTGAAGAAAAATTGCAACTTCCCGCTACAGTATTAAAATACTTCCTCTTTACTACGCAAGTACGTCGTATATCTAGAAAGTAAATTTTCGTTAACCAACATTTATCAGTGTAAAATAAAATTAAAGAAAATGAGGGTGAAAATGAAAGAAAATGAGAACAGACGGACATTTTGCCGTCAATTGGTTTTTTGGTATGAAGGATCCACAAAACATGAATTCTGGCGTGACCAGAAATATGGCCTCCACGACTTAGAGGATTCTGTTTTCTTTATTTAGCAACTGTATTTTTCCACTTTTTCGTTATCAGGGCCCGACAATGAATTTTGTTCTGCCGAAAATTCGCCGTTTTTTCGCGAATTTCCCTATACCACGTATATTTCTTCTATATACGTATGTATACGGGTAAGTAAAAATCAAGTGATCAAAATCATCTCATCAAAATCCATAGGTATGTTCACTGAAACAAATGGGTCGTCTAAAAACGTTTTCATCGTTTACCATGACTCTAGTCTCCATTAAAAAGAATGGTCAACTTATTGTTCTTCCTCCTCATATTACGTACTGACGAACTAATTTAATAATATTTAATCAATAGGTGAGTTTTCCTTTTTAATATGAATGTTTTCGATTAATCCGATTTTTGCCCGCAAGCGGTGTCTGTGCCCAGGTTTTATTTATTATCAATGACATATGGGAGTCATGTGGCAAGCATGACGAATTCCCTTCTTTGTATCTAGAATACTTGAGCTGCCTAAGCTTATCTTCGACACTCAGCTGTAGAAACTGAGACAATTGTAATGAAAAGCTGCAGCACTCTTTTCTACCGGACTGAAAATCGAACCCGGGATCACACCATGTAAAGTTGGCACGCTGACCACGTACCACTCGGGGAACTCATTTTTAACATGTCCTCCAAAAAATATATAATTTGTTTATGTCTTTGGGACATGTCACAAGAATGGTGTCATTTTTTATGGAATGATGGCGTTCCCCTTCTCACGTAGCTCGAGATATCTCCACGGACATGCTTTCAATAACTGAATACATTGAAAGAAAAATACAACAGTTCTAATTGAATCAGTTTTTGTTTACCTAAAGATCGTTATTCTCTTGATTTATGTGCTTTCCCTTACAAATATGGAAAGAAAGCTTTCAATTCAGCAAACATTTGATAGGTGGCGCGATTTGTACGGTAAAAATGTTTGGAAAATGCACGAGGAAGAGTAAGAACGTAACCAAATTTTAAAGGAAATGAGAATAAATTTTAAATATTTCCACAATTGTTTTATATAACACATAGTTTACAATAATGTATTTTAATGAAAAGGATTTTAGGTAATGAATTTTAGAGAGTAGAATTTAAGTTAAAGTTAAAAGTGCTAAGCCAGCTAATGTGTTTTAACTAAATCTATATGAACGTTTATACAAATGTTCACTCCGACACAAAAACATGTATATCCACCAAATATCATAATTAATTTCAATTGCAAAAGTGCTTTTAGTCTACAAAGGTTTTTTTAAATTTAATCTAAAAGTCTAACAGGCTTTAGCGTATTTACCCTTAATATTTATAATGTATAATGTATAAATGCAAATAAAACTATTGGCGCTATAGCACTTAATTAAACGCATTGTTTGCCTTTTTTCGATTATTCAGTGTTCAACAAAAACGAAACTTGCGCAATTATTAGAAAACATACATTGCTCTATTCAAGTAAAAAGTTCAATGAAAAAATGGAACCGTTTTTAAAAATATTTTTATGAATTCCTTGCAATTCAAGCAAAAATTCTGCGAAAACTCGCATTTTAAATAATTGTTCGTTACTTTATTTAAAATCTAATTATTTAAGGCATCTTATCTTTAATAAATATTTCTATTAACTAAGCTTTAATATCACAATGTAATTTTTTTGGCTCTGAAAATGGAATCTGCGTCATTTTTAAACGTTCTTAGCTCTATTCTAGAAAGAAAAGTTATGAAAAAATCTGAAATAGTTTTTGAGAAAATAATTGTTTAAAAAGTTTTAAAATTGCCTTTATTTCACACAAAATTACATGAAAACTACTAATTTTTTAGTATTCGTCCTCATTGAAAGATCTGTCTTTGAAAAATAGGCTTCGTTAAGGAATTAATTCACAATCTTTAGTATTGTAGTTGAAGGAAGTTGCAGAAAAAATGGAACTGTTGCGATTTTCGAAAATTCAGATAGTACCATGCCGATAGTACCAGACCGCTGCCGTTTTTTAGCTTTTCTTGCTGTATGAGAGGAAAAATGTAATCCAAAAATTTGTAAAAAGATGAGAGAAAAAGAAAGTTTTGAGACAAAATGTAAAGTACACCCCCAAAATATAAATATCCTTTTGAAATTCGTAGGACCTTGAGTTCAAGTTCGAACAACATTAGTTTTGCTCATAATAATCGGACAAGCAGACGGAAAGACAGTAATTTGCCTAATTTTTCGATGTCACGGACTCAGAAAATGTTAATTCTCACAACCCATTTGAGCAAGTAATTTGTTTCATATTGCAACAAGATTCACAAACTTCAATTTAAGCGCCCCCAGAATGCGAGTTTTTGTGACGAAAAATCACCACTTTCCGCTACAATATCACAATATTTTCTGTTTACTAGTAAGTGCGTAATAGACGATAAAATAAAATGATTAAAAAAGATACTTATTTTGTTTTCAATTAGAAATAACTACAAGAAACACAAACATTTCATATTACGCTTACCGTGCATCTTTCCTTCCATTAACTAAAACTTGATTCACGTGCTATGATGTTGATTCAATGTTATTTCATCACCTGTTTAAGTAAAGTATAAAACATAGTCTTGATATGAAATGTTTTTGTACTTCTTAAGTAAGAAATGTTTTGATAATTGCAGAATACAGCTTTGCACCTTGCTACAATGGAAAATAAACCAAATGCTATAGCACTACTTCTTTCAATGGATTGCAAGCTGAAGAACAATGCAATGGATATGAGTGCAATAGATTATGCGATTTATTACAAATTTCCTGAGGCTGCTTTAGCGATGGTGACACACGAAGAAAGGTAAGAAGGAATCATTGTGCTCTTAAAATTGATTACTATACTTACTTTATAATGAACAAGTCTGTAGGACAAGTATTCTCAAATATTAATTACAAATTGTATACACCTATTGTCAATGAAGCATACCTGACAAACGTGATGGCGATGAGCTTCTTGTATTGTACAACAGTTTGACAAATGAAGTATTACTATAGTATCGCCAGCGTATAAGTCTCTCTCACATTTCGACCTTCAGTTGTTACTGACTACCCCGCACATGTAACATTTATTGACACGGGAGGACGTCGTGAGGTCTCCTTCATAACCGCCAAATATAACAACTACAACAATAATAACAACACTAATAATAATAATAATAATAATAATAATAATAATAATAATAATAATAATAATAATAATCTTTATTTGTGCCGAACCTCAGGCCTTTAGTCCTGCTCTTCCGCCTAACCACTTTAATACATTTAGTGTTACAATTTTAATTAAAGAGTTCGGGCGTAATTAGTGATAATTAATACTTCGCATTTCATAGGAGAGTGCAATGATGTATCTACTTGAAATGAGCGGCATACGACGAATGAGTGAAGGGCACATTGACATTCACAAATGAAAAAATTGAAACGCATACTTTGAAAGAGGTATGCGTGAGCGCTGCGTGCTTCGCGATCGACTTCGTGGGTGGCAGATGGGCGCAACCACTCGTTCCTGACAATGGCAGCGTTAACAAATCTTCGTAGGCCGATTGTTTCAAAACCGATTATCCAGTGGCGTAGCGTGAAGGGCAACATTGTGGGCATTATGAGCCCCGGCAAAAGTTATATGCAGAACGTATTTCTATAGAACATATTACCCGTATATAAACAAATAATCCCCGGATGTTTTTCAAAAATTGGTTGCTGAAAATTGGGGTACAGGAATTATTCGCCTCAAGGTATTATAGGTGGTATTATACGCGCACGTTTTCTTGAGCCCCGGAATTTCTACCCCAGTCATTTAATAACATTAGTTGAATTAAGAATAAATTATAGCAATGAGCGTTCTTGGCACAAGCTGGTAACCAGAAATTCCATGGAATAAAAAATATGTTACGTCGAAAAGCGAACTTCAGATTTGACGTAAAAGACCTACCGTCGAAACACCTCCCCCCTCCTCCCCAGCATGCTCGTATAGCGAAATAAGGCATCTAGCGACATGAGGGCTCGAGGAAACGCACGCGTATAATACCGCGCACTTGAAACTTGATCTTTCACCGCGAAAGAAAAATTACGCGTGATAGAAGAAGCAGAACCATTTGGTGATGGCGCAGGAGGAAGATGTGGATGAAAGTGGCATTCATCATTGGCCTAAGAACAAAACGCAACGTGAAGAAACTAATGTTAATCGACCGGAAAAAACAAACTTAGTTATTTTTCTTTGATACAGATGCGGGATAGTTTCAACATTAATAATGTAATAAATTAATGGAGTAATTTTTTCATTAAAGGGTTGTTTCTTTTCTTCAAGATGCTATCCTGTAACATTCATTAGAATTTCGTCATTAGAATTTCCCTCTATCCTTGGTTAAAAACAAACGTTTATGATCTGGACTGACCGGGTGATACCGCGTCGAAGGCCAAGGTGCCAACGTTTCGACCAACAAATCAGTCTACTTCACGGCTGTAGTGCGACACAGCGCTGTTGGCACTACAGCCCTGAAGAAGACCGTCAAATGTTGGTCGAAACGTTGATACCTCAGCCTTCGACGCGGCGTCACCCGGATGGCCCAGGTTATGACTGATCGCGGAACCTACGACATCAATGAACATTTATATAATTTCCAGTAATAATAATTACAATATCTGTTTACTGTTTTTGTGAGGACTAAATACTCACTTCGTTGCCACTTCTTATAAATAAAAGAATCATCAAGCCCTGGGTTTTCGGTGTACTGGGAACCACTTTGCGATGCAAATAAAATTCTCGAGCATAAGAGGGAACTTCCAAAGTCCAACATTGATATCTTATAATGTCAGATGTTCTTTCAGGACGGTCAGGTAAGTTCGTTTATTTCTGGAATTAAATGTTAGGTCTCTTTCATATGACAATTATGGACATTAAAGGAACTCGTGATATTTATTTTGGTCAATATCCTCACTGCACTGCAATCCTCACTGCACAACGTATTGGAGAAATTAATTTAAAATATACAGGAACAAGATTTATCCATCTTTTCGATAGCAGGACCCCACAATACGAATTTTTCTGACGAAAAATCGCCACTTTACGCTGAAGCAATACAGTACTTTCTTTACTACGTAAGTACGTAGTACGGCAAGAAAGTAAAAAAAAAAAGAAAACAGGAAGATGCTTCGATTCTCTCATTCTCTCGGTACGACGTCACGTGTGTATCTGAGGAAGATTATTTCGTAGAATAAAAAGGAGTACTTTTTTGTATCATTCGTTTTTAAAAATTTATCTTTTTTGACATTTCTCCCTGTTGTAATTCTTATCTGTATTATACAAATATTTTGAAATGTTTGTAATATTTTTCATCAATATACATTTATCCTGATTGAGAAAATTCAACAAAATTGAAAATTTTGGGGGTTGGGGAGGAGGGCAAACCCCCTCTCCCTTCTAAGTTACATCTATAGATTTAATTATACCATGTTTGAAAATGACCACTTTAGAAAAGTCTGCCCTCTGATTTTGTCATGATATGCCACTGGACGTACCATGATGAAGTTGGATATCTTGTATCATGGGATGTCCGACGTACACACAGTAAGTAGTGAGAGAACTGTTAGATGCACTTATGCGCTGATGAAACTGAGGTGTTTCATGGCAAAAGCAACTCATCTGTTGGATGCCACATAAATAATATAAAACCGAAATATAATTGAAAATGTATAAAAAATATATAACAGAAAATGTTTAGCTCATCACTAATATTCAGCTCAACAATATTTAATTAAGTCTATGTATACTTTATAAAAAACTGAAAATCAGATAATATTTCATTATTCCATGTATTTTTTGTTTGTTTGTTGCAAGTTATAGAGAGCAAATCACAGCTGATCATATAAATAAAAAATTGCAACTATTTCATATGTTATACAGATAAAAAATGAGAATAATAAGAAATGTCATGGTGTGCTTCCTCCAATTAGAAATAAAAAATAATACCACATAATCAAAAATATTTTGTTAGTTTGTAATTTAATATTCTAGGGCACAAGAAGTAATGGCACTAAAATCTGATAAACATCCCTGTGTGACATTAGCTCTCATTGCTTCAATGCCCAAAGTCTTTGAAGCTGTTCAGGATAAATGTATCACCAAAGCAAACTGCAAGAAAGATTCTAAATCTTTCTACGTAAGTATCGTGCAAGTATTAAATATTTTTATATCTTCTGATACTCAAGGACTGTACAATTAAATGTATCAAGCAGTATTCTGTCAGTTCTTAATATCATTTAATCATCTGTTATTCCAAATATCAGATAGTTTGGAAATAATGGATAGGAGGCCTAGAATGAAGATATAATTTTGTTACATTACAATAAAATGAACAATTTATTTCATTATATTAATTAATTTTTCTTTAATTGTCAGAAATAAATATATACTTAACATTTTACACAATATGCAAAGGTAAAAAATGTATTTCTTTGAGAGTATTTTGAAAATATTATTGATAGAATTGTTCTTAACATTGGAATTCTTGCAAGCCTAGTTACATGTGGGCGAAGTGAACACCAGTTGAAATAGTACTTCTGTATACATGTTTATACAGGGGCAGATCCAGAGATAAATTTTGGGAGGGGAAATTCAACATATTTTGGTTGAATGTACCATATTACAGATTTTGTAAAATATCGCAGACTACACTCAACTCATTCTTTGATATGTTTTTATTTGTTTTAATAATTATCTGAAAATATTATTGCTTGAAAGTTTGGTGACAAGTTAAAATTATTAGATTCTGAAAAATTTTACGGAAGAGAGGAATTTCCCTCATTTTTCTCTTCGTGGATCTGCGACAGGCATATATTATATTTTTTTATATATTATATAAAGCAGTGCCAAATAGTGGAATGCATGGTAAGCAAAAGTATATTCAGTATCTCCTTAAGAGACATTTCAGACAATAATTAATCATGAACGGACCAAAAAATTACAAAGCATTCAAATCTCAAACACTAGTGTAACCCATAATATCAAGTGAAAGTTAACTATAATCTAATTCAGCATTACTTGAAGAGAAAATATTTTATTAACTGACAATGCAATTATCTGATGTGCAATAACAGATGATGAGGATTAATTAATACATGTTTAAGAGAAAACACTAGGGTCACTAGTAATACATTTTCAAATTATAACATTGTTTCACTTTTTTTTTCTTTCTCCAATTAAATACAAGACTATCTTTGATAGTATTTTTTAACAAAATGTTATGTTGCACTTTCATGGTTAAATAAAAGTTCTTGCTTGATACAACTGCCATTTGCATATAATTGACAGTGATTTACAAGTTCTATAAACATTAAAGGATAATCCAATATCAGTTATCATTCAAGAGATTTTCCTTTTTAGAAGATTTATAAGCCTAATCTACATTATCTCATAAGACAAAAACAGAAAGAAAATATGTTCTGCTATTTGCAGCAGATATTATTGATACAAAATTTCAAATGACACTATTTTGAAGGAGAGAGAATGAAATTAAAATATACTAATCTCTGATTTAAGGAATAAAAAAATTATTTTTATGTTCCAGATTTATCTTATTATAATAATTGAGTAAATAATGAGACAACTGATGAGGAAAGTGTGTTGTGTATTGTTATATTTTCTCTTCTAATATAACGATAATATACATGTTGATCCAGTATATGTGTGCATGCATATGTGTAAGTCTGAGTGATATGCCTCATTACAGAAATGCATCTGTGCCCACACAACCACCCACACAATATACAAATGAAATGCAACTCTCAAATGAAATGAGCTATGCTGGCGGTAGCTTAGCTACTGGTAGGGCCTTCCTTGCTGGACAGGTCGATGGGGACAGGTCACACGAAGAAGTATTCCAGAAGAGGACATACAGAAGAGGCAGTTCATTGAAGACATGAAGATGGCCTCAAAGGAACCCGTTTTGCCAGGGATTCTTGGGGAGAGCATGTGTCCGGGATAGCAGGTACGAAGACTTTAACGGCCAACATTGGGCAGAAGGAGCAACCCTTTATGCAGAGTTAATACACAGGATGGAAGGTGGGAAAGGCCATAAGATAGCAACCCTATTACACCACAAACTTCGCGAGAGGCTGGAAACCTCTTTGGAGTTAAATTTTATACTCGCAATCTTCACAAGATAACACCAGACGGAAACAGACGACGACCAGTGCATGAAAAGGATAAGATTAAAGGAATTTCGAAGGAATTAAAGATAGAAACTTGGAATGTAAGAGGATTGGTGTCTAAAGAGATGGAGCTGGAAAAACGTATGCTCAAGAGAAAGATACAAATTGTCATCATTACAGAAACTAAGAAAAAATTGAAAAGAACTAGATGAATACGTAATGATTTATAGTGGTGTATCTCAAAATACAAGGGCACGAGCAGGAATAGCCATTCTTATTCCTAAAAATTGTAAATCAAGAATTAAAAGTCACAATTTCATCAACAAAAGAATGATATCTTTAAGATTAGATCAGAAGTTATCAGACTATAATAGGAACGTACACCCCAGAAGAAGGGAAAAAAGAGGAAACACAGGATCTATATCAGCTATTGCAGAAACAGATTGACAAAACAAATGAAAATGACCATCTCATTGTATGTGGCAACTTTAATGCAAGAGTAGGTAATACACCAATACCTGGAATACTTGGGTCAGTTGGAGAAAATAAACTAAACAATAATGGTTACAAACTTATACAATTTGCCAGCCCAAACAATTTAAAGATTTTCAATACTTCCTTCAGAAAAAAAGAAGTAAATAAATTAAATTGGTGTACACGGGATATAGGACAATAATTGATTATTTCCTAATAAATGAAAAATTGAAATCACAAATAAAAGACGTGTAAGTTTATCGGGGAAGTGATATAGGTTCTGATCATTTTATATTAATTAGCAAATTCAATCTCTGGTAAAGATAAAGGACTACAAAATGACAGAAAAGTATTTCAGAAGAAGTATACAAAGTACATCTGCAAGAAGAAAGTGTAAAAATGCTGTATCAAACTAGATTACAGAAATACTTATTAGAAACAGTAACTGAGAACAATATAGAGAAAGAATGGAATAATGTGCAAAACTGCATTCAAAATGCGACAAGAGAAGCTATAGAAAGAAAGAGGAAAATAAGGAGTAAAAAGGGCCAGAAAATTTGGAACAGTGAGAATGAAAACCTAGTAAGAAACAAACAAACAGCATATCTTCAGCATCTTCAACAAAATACTGAGGAGAGTAAACAAAGACACAAGGAAATACACAATTTAGCAAAAAAAGGTATTCGACAAGCCCAACAATAAGCATGGGATACATTTATAAGCCAAACAGAGAATGGCATACATGGAAGACAACATTTTACTTAAAAGATTCTTAAACATCTGAACAAAGAAGAAAAAGATACAGTGAGAATAGATGTAATTGAGAAGTTAGACTGGATTAAGCACTATAGAAACCTATGTTATAACAAAAACGAAGTACAAGGAGAAATATGTGAAGTACTATGCAGTCATATCGATCCCATAATGATAAATGAGATCAAAGAGGTTTTGAAAGAACTGAAAAATAGGAAAGAAATAGGAACTGACAATCTAAATGCAGAACTATTAAAATATGACGGGATGATGCTCCACTGGTGATTGCAACACATTGTGAATTATTCTTGGCAAACTAGTGAAATACGAGAATCATGGAAAACTGCTTAAGTAATTTCCATATTCAAGAAAGGTGATTACAAAGATAGTAAAAGTTACAGAGGAATCAGCATTTTATATTCAGTGTATAAGTATTAGCTAGAATATTAAATAAAAGGCTAAATTGCATCTCAAAAACTCTCATTGGTGAAGAGCAGAACTGTTTTTGAAAAAGGAGATTGACTACAGACAATTTATTCACACTGCAACAAATAATAGATAAAAGAAAGGAATTTAATCAATAGACACACATAGCTTTCATAGATTTTATAAAAGCCTTCGATAAGGTAAATAACGTGAAACTCTGGTCTATAATGGAAAATAATGGCTATCCTCAAAAAGTAGTAGAAGCAATAAAGAGCTTGTATAAAAACTCCACCATTGTAACAAAACTAGGAATAAATGAAACTGATAAAATAGTAATAAACAGAAGAGTGCAACAGGGATGCAAATCTCTCTGACACTTTTTAATATTTATATTGATAACATTATCCAAAATTGGAAGCAAATAATTTACAAAGGTATTACGATATCAAAAGAAAATATTTTACTCTCTGCAAATGATGCTTTAATATTCCAGGAAACAGAAGAAGATTTACAGTATGAATTATTTCATTAAAATCATTTATTTTTAAAAAATATGATGTTGAAATATCGAAGAAAAAACAAAGGTGATGGTATTTTGGGGAAAACATCTCGGGGGTGCACGGATAAAAGGGAATAAGTCAATTTTTTGTCCAGAAAGAAGCTAGAATAGGGAATAAATGACATGTCAATTTTGTAAATAAAGTTTAATGGCAAAATTGAAATGTCACTAATTGCCCTATACACAATGATAGTATTGCAGTAAAGCAATGTTCTGGCATACTTGTTCCAGACAAAAACTTGACTTACCTCCTTTTACACATGTACACACCATCTAATACGATCAAAAATTATTTTGGATAAAATAATTTTAGAGCAAGTTTCCAATTTGAGCTATATAAGTTGTCAAGTTGATCAAGATACCAATAAAGACATTAATATCAAATTTGCAAGGTTCCAAAGAATTTGTGGTACTATAAGTAATACACTAAAAAATAAGACAAGGCAAGATACAAGAAAAAATTTCTTAAGACTAAGGCTCTTCCCATTCTTCTGTATGGCAGCAAGAGTATTCTTCTGTATGGGTACCAACAACAAGAACGTTAAGTAGAATAGAGGCCGCTGAAATGAAGTTTTTGAGGAGAACGCCAGGCACAAAAGAAGTTCGTATTAAAAACAAGAAGATTAGGGAAAAACTACATGAATTGAAGGAATTCTTTCAAAGCACAAAGGAATTTAAAGCAAAATAACTAAATTCCAAAAGAACTAGTATCAACACACGCAAAGGATGGATTATAAAAGAATACCTACATTAGTTTTACTCTTAATTAGGTCTCTGGTGAGGTAGATACCTTCTAATAATTAAATAGGCTAAATTAAAGGTGTTGTCTGGTATCAAAAATTAATTTTGCTAATGATCGTTTCGACCGCATAGCGATTATCCTCACAGCTAAAATTAGAATTATCAAAATAAAATTATATTAATACATGAATTATAAAAAATTAGGTATCAACCTCACAGCTTCAACTTGCACCTAACTTTTTATAATTCATGAATAAATATAATTTTATTTGGATAATTCTGATATTTGCTCCGAGGATGATTGCTATGTGATCGAAACTATCATTGGCAAAATAAATTCTTAATTACAGACAACACCTTTACCATATTTAGCTTTACACTTAGCCTTTGTTTACCATATTTAGCTTTACTCTATCAACCATATGGAAGAAGAGACTTGGACAAACCCAAAAAACAATGGAAGGAAAACTTGTGATGACAGATCAGGCTCAAGCCTAATCCATGAAGTGCAGAAGAAGAAGAAGATGTAGTACTCTTCATAAAATGTGATGTACATAACCACACACTGCATATACACATATGGTATCATACAAGAATTACAGAGTAAACTCTGATACATTATTCTTCACAATATTCTGTGGTTTACCCTTGTATCAGCTCTGTCAATGCATGATTGTGCAAAGGCTTTCTTATCTGCCATAAAGCTAAAGCAATGTAAATGCTTACATCATGTTTGTACATAGAATGTATGTATGTATGTAACACATTTCATTAATATTAAATGATGCAAATGTGTACAAAATAACATAACATTAAATTTATTGCACTCGTAATGCAATTCTCTGAGGCTAGCTTGATATTTCTATGAAAAGTATTCCATCTTCAAAAGGCACTGTTGGTAAATAAAATATTGGGACAATATAGGCTATTGACCACTATTCTACTACCCTCCTTCATAATTATTCCACAGAAGAAAACCTTGATAATTTTGAAAAAGTAATTATTTCTTTAAGATAAAAATCTTTTTATAGGTATATCATTCTTTGTTTTGCTAACATATATGTAATTAAAAGTGTTCTTACTATCCAATACAAATTACAACTAATTTTGTTTTTCAGGGTTAGTTATAAAGATGTCATTATCAGAAATACTTGAAAATAAACATTTTTGTATTTGATTTCAAATATAATTAATTCAATATTTTTT